TGGTTTTATACAACTCAGAAAAGAGTACCCATTTACCCAGGTGCTAACATCAGGAAACCAAGGATCATCCTCAGTTCTCTTTCCTCTCTGAGCGCCCACACACTATCAACTATCAAGTTCCATCAAACCTCTTCCTAAGCATACATCAAATTCATCTACTCTTTGTTCCAACTCTTAATCTCTCATCTACACTGCCATCATCTCTCTTCCTACACATCTATTCTCCACACTACAGATAAGTGAGTTTTGAAATGCAAATATGATCACTTACCCCACTGTTAAAAATCCCTCAGATGGCATAATGGTTACACCACTGGACTCCCACATAGTCGACCACGGTTTGAGTCCCAGACCTAGAGGCTTAAAACTCACGCCAGGCATATGTGCATGTGTGCCCAAAATTCCGAGAGGAGAATGAAGGAGAAGGAACTGGCACAGCCATGACCCCAGGGGGGTGATTTCCTGCTTTTCTGTCTCTCTGTCTCTCTCTGTATTTCCAGTAAATGAATGTAACCTATAGCAAAAAACTCTCTTAAAAAAAAAAATTCTCCAGTGGCCTCTCATTTCCCTGGACTTTTATCATGCTTTCAACAAACCACCATAACCCTGAACTCAGGTTTATGTGTATGCTGTTTTTTTCTGACCGGAATGCTGTCTTCTCTGTCTCCTACCCTGTCTCTGCCCCCTTCACCTCTACAGCATCACCAGACTAATTCCTGATGGTCTCTGGAGAGCTTCCCATAACATCCCAAAGCAAGTTTACTCTCCAGACATGTGCTTCCATAGCACCTGGTACTCTCCCCTTCAGTAACCCGAGACCCATTTTAACTCATTAGGTTTAGTGTATCCCCCACAGACCATGAAGGCAGGACTGGCTCTGTCTTAAAAACCCATTCAATACATATTTAGTTAGCATCTACTACACACAAAGCAGTAATACCAAAGTTCCCATTGCTATAACCCTAATGCCTAGGGCAATACCGGTGACGCCTAAATAAATTATTTTGGGAGATTGAATAGACGAGTAAGGGTATATATGCTGTGCCAAAGATGCACAGGATAGTTATTAAGTCTTTCTCTCAAGGACTTTGGAATTTTGGACACAGCCATTTCCAAAAATCACTTGAAGCCCACATGTAAATTAGACGGGGTATATATATGTCTCCTGAAATTACATTTTAAAAATCAAACAGGAGTGTGCTAACCATTTCAGAAAAAAAATTTTATTTTCCAAATGACACCTCAAAAGACAACTTTAGTGTCCTATAAAACTTATTTCTTTGGAGTATTTCATTCTTCAAGGAAACCATATAAATACCATGTCCCTTCCCTTAGGTCTCTGTACCCATTTTAATATCATACTGTTTACTTTCCATCAGCCACACCAGCCCAACATAACTCAAGCTCAACACTTACCTACTCTATATCTTTTCAGCCACATTTGCAAATCATTGAATATTCGCTGAGAAAACTCAAAAATGTATTTGTGATGAGAAACTGCCATGGTTGTTTATAGTTTAAAAGCCTGATAACATAACTTGTCTTTCTTAAGTTCTTTGGCATAAAGCCTATAACATTCTTTTGAGTCCTCCTGAATCTATTGGGTCTTTGGAAAAGTCATGACACATTTTTGCATAGAAAAACAGAAAAATACATCATGACTTTCCCAATGACCCAATAATTTGCACACCATTCACAGCAAGCACCCCAGACATATTTTATGCCAAATTCTAACATTCATTAAAGATCATCGTAAATTCTAAAATAACTTTAATATTCCCTCTCTTACCCAGATACCAGTTGGACACCAGCATCTCCAGCTTCTGCAGAATTGGCAATTGCAAACAGGTGATCAAAGGTCTCTTTAAACCACTGCTTCTGTTTGGGAATGGGTGTGTCTGTAATCATGGAGAAAAAAAATGGAATGGAAAGAAAAATGATAATAGTGACTATGCTTCAGATAATCTCTTTCCTAGAAATAGGGAAAAATAAGGAGACAGGCAGGGGCCTTTAGGTAAAGCACTATATTGGGGAAGAAGACTGTCCATAACCAATTTGAATGGCAACACAAGTCTGTCCGTATGATTAATCAGTGAAAGGAAACACACCAGCTGGGGCAAAATCTAATATGTCAGCCAGCTGATCTTCATTACTAGGTGTACGCCAGAGGTCTTTGAAGGGTCTATAACCAACCTGGGCAGAAATTAGTTCATGGCTGAGGGATCCTGCGGGTCACACAGTTAAGAAAGGACCCAGGTCCTCCTTTCTAGAGGCTAGAAACATAGTGGGTGACAAGGGAAGTTCTGTGGGACCCTTGCTAACAAGGGAAGACTGCACATTGAAGGGACTCCCAAAGCTCACCCTCCAGATATGAGGAAACAAGGCCTGCATCAGGGAGGTTTGCTCCTCTCCTTGCCTCAGCAGGCCAGACTGCCCAGCCAGGGCTGCCATTATCCTCCAGACCATGGATTCATTGACCAGCTCAGAGGATCATTCCTAAGGTCAGCAGGGGTGTGCTGGGACCACACCACTCCCAGGCAGCCCTGCCAGAACAAAAGGGTTGGACCCAGACATAGCTCTGGAACAGAGCCAGGCCTCCTAGGGAAGAAACAAGAGGCAGGGTCTAAACCCTAAAATAACAGTGTCCATTTAGGCAAGAACAAGCATAATTGGAGTCACAGACAAAATTGTGGGTGATGTATTTGGCCATCTCATTCCTGTGGAAGGGTTATGACAGAGGTCCAGGGTCAGGCCAGGGTCTGGAGTACAGTAATCCTGAGAGGCTGCTATAGGGGGAGCCACAGAAGACATGAGGGAACGGATACAAAGACAATGCTGGGTCTCATCTACCTGGATAGGGTGCCCTGCAATTCACTACACAGGTAGAAAGGCCCTTAGAGATCTCTTGCTCCCAGACAAAGCCCCCAGACCAATGAGGGCATGTCAGCATGATTTTTAAATAATTCAGCTTGCCATAGAGCCAGCAATTGGTTCTTTAGCAGTGGATTTGTGCTGTCATCTTTAAACACATTCCCATGTGAATGCAACACTGCATTCCAAAATTGCAGACCAAGGATGCTGTTTTTAGAAATAAGGAAGAAATTCATTTTAAGCTGTGGAGGAAACTCTATTAGATATCCTATGGATTATACGCAAATCTCTTCCTAAGCATGTCAATGTACAGGGCTGTGTTGGAATGCATCCACCTGTTCCCATCCCAAACCTTAAAAATGAAATAATGGCTTAGATTCACATGCTGCCAAAGTCATCCCAACAGAATCAACAGTTGTAATGTAACAAGGGGTGACAGCAAGCCTGAGGAACTAATTAATATTCAAATGCTGGTAAAACAAAACACTCTGTCGCCTGAGTGGCAGAAATAACAACAAATACTGATATTGTACTTCCTATGTACCTGGCACTGTTCTAATGCTTTGTGTATATTAACTTGTACAATACAATAACTCTGTGCGATGGGTGTGGTTCTCATGCAGTAGTGACATTTATGAGCACAGGAGGTATTTACTACTAGGGCTGGTCTGAATAATGTCTGGGAAGAAGCCCAGTGAGAAGACCAGTCTTCAGTAACCCCAAAGAGAGGTAAAGTCTGGCCCAGGAGACTTAGCCACCTAGTCAGTGAGAGTGCTCAGGCCTCGATGGCCTGGATGAATTCTCAGATAAGCCTCCTTCTTTGTGGATGGTTCTGTGACTATCAGGCAGTCTTCTGACCACCCACTCAGGCCTGGTGCAAGCAAGAGAGCTCCTGGAAAACGGATACAAGAACTCTAGTTCCAAGAAAAGTGCCTAGTGTGAACACTGGCTTCTTGTGTTTCTTCCTCATGAGGCAGCTCCCAGGAGGTGTTCCAACATCATGAGTGTGGACACCAAGTTCCTAGACCAACAACAACAAACAAAGCCACTGCCCTTCCCACTCTAGAAGAAGATGGGTTGATTATCTCTTAGGTGAAACAGGTCTCTGTAGTGGGAAACAACAAGTGCATGTGAAGACAGGGATATCACACTGAAAACAAGAGGGTTAAGGAAGCACTGCAAGCTGGATGCTAAGGCCTCTTCTTCACTCACCTTCCAGAAGGGAGTTCAGGTCTTCATCTTCCCCAGAATGGAGACTGTAAGCCTCTACGCTGGGGAACTCAATCCACTCAAGAAGACCTAAACATGCAGACTTCAGAGGCTCCTCACCAAATAGCTCTGCCATCTCACACCAGTGAGGCTCAATTTGCAAGCCCTAGGCAACACTCAGAAATCCCCATCCACCTCTTAGGATCCCACTCATGAGTGCCAGCAGACAGGTAAGGATTACCACGTGGCCAAGGAAAGTCATCATCATGAAAAATTAGTACATTAGGCAAAAAAGGCACATCTTGGGGTCTGCCCATGGCATAGTGGTTAAAGCAGCTGGGTTCCACATGGCTGACTGCATGTTTGAGTCCTAGACCAGTGACTTAAAAACATGCCAGATGTGTGTTTGTCCAAAATCCCAAATAAAAAGGAGAAATGGAGGAAGTGAGATTGCTGTGTGACCATGTCCCATAGAGGATGCTTTCTCATTCCTTTCTCTCTGTTTCTCTCTGTCAAGAACACAAGACCAAAAACAAACAAACAAACTTAGAAACTATGCAGGGAGAAAAAAAAGAAAAAAAAAAACACCTTTAAAAATTATTATTAGTGGGCCAGCCCCATAGTGGTTAGGGGAACTGGATCCCACATGGTTGGGATCCACAGGGTTTTCAGTCTTGTCCCTGGGAGCTTGAAAAGCACACTGGATACCTGCACATGCATGCCCAAAATCCTGACAGGAAGGAGAAATGGAGAAAAAAGGACTGCAGCACAACCACACCCATTAGGGGGTGCTTTCTTGCTCCCTCTCTTTTGCTCATGTGTACACACAAGCATGAGTATGCTCTCTGGTAATAAAAATAATGTGTTATTAAAATAATCTTCAGGAAGATAAGATATTACAACCATAGTATAAAAAGGACATTATAACAAAGGAAAATTCAGAGAACAAAAAGGAGCTTTGGACTATTAAAAATACTATAGCAAAACTAAAAAGTTCAAAAGCAAAGTAAAAGACAAAATTGAGAAAATCTTCATGAAGTAAAATAAAAAAGAGAAATAGGAATAGAAGTGGGAAAAGGCTAAAGAACTGGAAGATCATTCCAGAAGACCCTACACAACAGCAATTCCAGAGAAAGAGGCAGAGACATCCAAAGGGAGGAAGTTAATACTTCAGCTACTCAACGACTGTTTCCTGAACACGACACTAGGAGCTTCCAGATTAGAAGGTCAGGGTAATTTTCATGTTCTAGACTGCTGTTTTTATAATCAATTCTGGAAGTTTTTAAAATTATGAGCATGTATAACTTTGATAAAAATTAATATTAAAGGGGGAAAAAGTATAAATGAAGATCTGAAAATAGTATCGACTTCATTAGCTGCAGAATGGTTTTGGTTTCTACTTAATACTTTTTCCTCAACCTCCAATTCCATGAGAAGGATACAGAATGGGAAGGATGCATGGGTCTGTTTAAAACTCAATGTATCTTCAGGTCTAAATACACATTGACTGATTGTTTTGATACTGGCTTGGAAGTTAGGATCATTTTAGTCACCTTACAAGTAATTTCTAACTTGATAGTCATTACTAGTGTGAGTAGAAAGACCGAGTCACTAACTGTATAGTCGTTCATGCTCTTCTCGGAGTACTTCCATTACCCATTTTATGGTGACCTCATAGAACTGCACTTCTTGGCCTCCCCTAGAGGAGAGAGGGATGTAACTAGCTCTTCCAATGAGTCAAGTGTTAGAAGTAACTTTCTGATCAGAATGTTTCATCTTTTTATTTTTAAGAATTATTTATTTCATTTTATTTATCATTATTATTATTTTCTAATTTGCTACAGGGCACATGGGTGCAAGAGAGAGAGAAACAGAAAGAGAAGGGGAAAGTGAGAAAACAAGCTGCCAGGACCAGGACTTGAACTGCAGTCAGTCATGTGGGAGTCCAGTGCCTTAACCACAGAGCATTCAATCTTAGAAGTAAGACCCTCCCAGCTCCCTTGCCCTCTAGCAGGGGTGTGGTGAATATTCAGGACAGCAGCTTCTGCATCAGCATGTTAGGTCCCTTGATGAGGAGCCAGATGCTTGCTGATGCTCGATGAATGTACAGTGCAAGCAAGGACAAAGCTTTGCTTTTGAAGCTGCTAAGGTGTGGAGGTTATTTTTGTCCTACCGCAAAACTGAACTTTCCCAAACAGAGAAACCAACAGAGTTTAACACTGCACACTACTCTTACACACTCAGCAAGCCATCTTTGTGTATAGAATTCCAATTCCAGCATTTCCTCTGACATCTATCATATACGAATGAGAAGGTTGAAATCTCACCTGGGAAAGCGTGGGGGATAAGCACCCCAGCTGCCACATCACTGGTGGTGTCGGGAGTACGCTTCTCTGCAATGATGGTAATGGAGCACCCAGGGACCAGCTTGGATATGCACACGGCAGTAGAGAGCCCCATCACGCCAGCCCCCACAACTGCAATCCGTGCTGTGTTCATGAGCCTATGAGGAGGGAAATGTGGGCCATTCACCCTGGTTTGAGGACTATCCATCCAGATGAAGTGTCATCCTTATTCTGCAGCATCTCAGAATAAGACCTTCCTACTGATGTTTCTCATGGGAGAAGAGAACATTCTTTTAGGCTCTCTTTCCATTGACACTCAGGGAGCAGGTAACAAGGTCTTTGTGGGATTTCATATGTGAACCTGCACTGACCCGGGTTTGCGTTTGGAACACACACCCAGTGAGGTGGTCTGCCCTTGGGGAAGGTTCTTTCTCATTTCATCCCGTTTCCTGAATCATGTTCCCATGGGCACAACCCAGGGAAGGCTGCTGAAGTATGCCAGGGAGGGAGATCGGCAGAGCTGGAGGCTCTGCTCCCAGAATTCTCCTGAGCAGTAGTCCCAAGAGGGCGTGACCTACAAGCCACTTGGAACTCAGCTCTTCTCATTTATTACAAACTTGTTTTTAGTTAAAACAAACATCACAGAAAGATTAAGTCTCCCCTGCTCCTCACTCCAACTGGAAACTGCTTCACCCTCCCACCTTCCCTGCCTCTGTCACTGTGCTCTCTGCCCTGAGGAGCATGGTTTCCAGGTAAAGAGACCTGGGTTCCTGCCTGGACTGGGTCGGGGATTGGTTGTACAGCCTGAGGAGTGGCCTTTGATCTGCCAGTTTAAATTCCCTCCCGGATGAATTCTTTTTTTCCTTCTTTTGAAATGTTTCATTCACCAAAGACAGCAGCAGGGTAGGGGGAGCATCTCCCTCAACCTCTCCCCCTTCCACCATGCCAAAGAGGCGTGGTCACACCGTAATTCCTCTCCTCCATTTCTTCATCCTGTTGGGATTTGGAGCATGCATGCACATGCACTTGGTGTGTTTTTCAAGCTGCTAGGGCCAGGATTTGAATCACGGTCAGCCATGTGGTATCCAGATCCCTTGACCCCTAGGCCATGGGCCAGCCCCTGATGGGATGAATTATTTGGGTTTTGTTTTGTTATAGGGCATGTGTACTTGCTGGAGAGAGACACAGAGACAGACACAGAGAGGAAAAGTGACATCTCATCCCACAGGGGGATGACCACATAGAAGTCCCTTCTCCTCCATTTTCCTCTCAGGATTTTGGTCATGCACACACACAAGTGTTTTTCAAGTCACTGGGTCTAGGACTCGAAGGATCCAGCACTTCATGGTGATGCCACCTGGCTGACCAGGGATGAATTATTATTTTTATTAGCTCCTTAGGTGATCATAAGAGATACCCACTGAGACTGTCTCATAATGGGGTCCTTGTGGCCCTGCAGGGGGCAGACATCCGAGAGACCGGTTGGGCTTCCTGAGTCTGACCCTGTGGGAGAACCAGAGTTGCTGAGGTTCCATACCCTCCCGCCCCTTGTCCTCTGAGCAGTTGAGTCCTCAGAGCCCTGTTCCACCATCGGCGTCCGTGCTTGCCTTCGCTTCCCTATCTCTCCACATCTGCTCCTGCTCTGTCGGACTGTCTGTATGGCTCGGGTTAGAACTCCAGAGGGAGAAAGTACACCACTGTTGGATAAAGGTCTAACACTGGGCCAGCGTGCAGTGCCAAGTCAGTCTAGAAATATGACATTGACATCGTTGCCCTTCTCTGTCCAAAGAGCAATGGCCAAGGCATCAGGTTAGTACAAACCGGGTCCCACACGTAGAAGCTTGCTGTTCCTCAGCAGAGGTGGGGCAGTTCTCTCAGCAGGCTGTGGGCAGGGCAGCAAAGGTTGTGGGGCTCACCTGTAGTGGTCTCTGCTGTCTCTTCCAGCTCTGAAGGGGTCTCGCACGATGAAACATGCAAGTCCTGCATGAGGTTCAATGCGTGCATTCTGTTCCTGAAGTGGTGTGTGCATTTCTGCAGCCGTTTGCTAACTGACTGCTGTGCCATGAGCTGGCTAATGAGAAGGGGCAGGACGCCAGGGCAGAGGGGAGAGAAGAGTTCAGTATACCGGCCAGCCCAGTGAGGGCTGGCTCAAGGAGCATAGCCCTGCACGAGTTTGGAGCATAGCCCTGCACAAGTTCCCTGGAGATACCTATGCCCCTACTTGCCCACTATTCCACACTAGCCTCCCCCGGCCAGCAACTTTCTCAAAATAGTTCTAAAACATTGAGAAGGAAAATGATCTTCAGGTAAGAATAGCCAGCTGCCAGGGAGAAGAGTGAGCTAGCTGGGTGGGTGTATCCTGGCACAGGGACCTGTAAACAGATGTTCCTGATCCCACTACCACATACCCCCAAACTCCAGAGTACGGACAGAATGACCCCTGAGCCCAAAGCAGGAGAATTCAGGTACCTGTCTCCGGAAAAGCCGCCTTGGAACCCCCAGCAGACTCAGCCATTAAAACTTGTTTTCCAGTGACTAGTTGGTCTAGTGCCCTGAGACACAGAGAGAAAGCAAAACTGCTTCCTATTGGGGAAAGTCATAAGGGTTCTCCCTCTAATCTTATTCTCCATTGGCCCTGCATGCCTGTGAATCTGTCACTCATTACCCCAGAGAAAGGAGTAGCACATGACCTCATCTCACAGGCTCTGTGGAGCTATCTCTGTGAGCCTCGGGGGTTGGCCCGCCTTCAGCACCCTTCACTTTCTGGTTTGTAAGCCCTCCACCTCACTGCCAGCTGAGATTTCTCCAGCTCATCAGTAGATGTGCTAAATACAGGGGGCCTGTCCAGCTTCCAGCAGGTTCTGGCCAGGGGCCAACACTGGCTCTGTATTTGGCTGCTGGAGTTGGCTGCTGCCTCCTGCTGGGTGCCCGGCTCTGCTGGGTCAGCTGGTGAGGTGGGGCAGGGAGGAGTGAGGGCAGCACACTGTTGCTGGTCACTAAGATGATGATCTATTACAATAGAAAAATTGGGAAAATCATACTGGAGATACTCTAGACTTGAACCCAGCGACTCCTAGCCCACATGTTCAAAGAAGGGAATGAATATCTGCAAAGTGTCTATGTGTGCTAGGCATGAACACTTTCCAGTCAATAAGTTTTTATCTGGGGAAGCAGTTTATGTACCAAAATAGTGACAATAATATTTTAATGACTACATATTTAGCATTAATCATGTGCCAAACACATGCATGACACCGTGTAACACAACCATGTATGATGCAGGTACTATTATCATTCCCATTCTATAAATGAGGACTTTTTTGTTTTTCATATTATTTTCCAGATTTTTGTCATAGGTTTCATGTGCTCACCAGAGAGAAACAGATAGTGAGGGAAAGGGAGAGAAAATGAGAAATCACTCCCCAGGAGGGATGACCACACTGCAGTCCCCTCCCTTCCCTTGCCCTTTCAGAATTTGGGGCACACAAGCACATGCACCCAGGATGTTTTTCAAGTCACTGGGTCCAGGACTCAAACCAAGGAGTCAGTCATGTGGGATCCAGCATCTTAACCTCCACATTATCTGCTGGCCCCAGTTTTAATTTTTTTAATGTTAGACGGCACATTAAAAATGATAGAGAGAGGGACCAGCAGATGGCGTAATGGCTATGTTGCTGGACTCCCGTATAGTTGACCATAGTTCAAGTCCTGGACCTGGTGACCTGAACTCACACCAGGCGCATGTGTGTGCGTGCCCAAGATGCCGAGAGAAGAATGGAAGAGAAGGGATTGCGGCATGGCCATATCCCCCGGGGGGGTGATTTCTCACTTTCTGTCTGTCTCTCTTAGTCTTTCTGGTGAATGTATACGCCATATAGAAAAAAAAAAAATCTCTTCAGAAAAAAAAAAGAAAGTGTCCCCCAGTGGGACCTGGTCATGCCTCACCTCCTGTCCTCCATTCCTCTGTTCTGTCAGAATTTTGGGCACACACACTCACATTCACTCACTCCCAGTGTGTTTTCCAAGCTGCCAGGGTTGGAATTCAGACTGTGATCAGCCGTGTTGAATTCGGCTTCTTTCTTACAGCTCTTAACTCCTGTGTTATGGGGCTGATCTCAAATGAGTAAATCGAGGCTCCAAGAAAATTAAGGAAGACCTAGGGTCTCTTAAGCAGTGAAGTCCAATCTTAGTGTCAGAGTTCAAGGTTTAAACTCTTAACCAAAGCACATATTTTGGTGTCAGGAACCCATCTGTTTTACCTTGAGCAAATCACCTAACTTCAGAGGTTTCTCCCATCTGAAAATTGAGAATAAACTACTATTTTCCTTGAAAGCTGTTGTGAGCCTCTGATGACTTACGATATGTAAAATTTGGGGCCAGCAGGTATCACGGTGGTTAAGGTGCTAGACTCCCACATGGCCAACTGGTGGTTCAAGTCCTGTTGGCTTGACAGAACTAGGTGGCTTGAAACTGACACCTGTGCATGTGAGTATGTACTCAAAATCCCAAGAGGAGAATGGAGAAGAAAGGATTGCAGTGTGGTCATTTCCCCTGAGGGGTGATTTTTCATGTTCCCTCTCACTGCCTCTTTCTGTTTCTCTCTGGCAAACACCTGCACCCTATGGCAAAAACCTTAAAAATGAAAAGATATATGAAATTTTTTATAAGGTGATCTGAGAGGGGAAGACAAAAAATAACAACAGTTTTTTTCTCCTAATATAGTCAATACTCTCACACAGTCACACAGAAGAGAGCACTTCTGTGACCAAATATCTTGGTGTTATTGCCCCATACATGAAGCAATTCATTCTGCAGATTCTCCAGTAGACAGCATCTAGGTGTTCTCTAATTCATTTAGATTCTGATACTGTCTACCTGGAGATTATTTTTTTAATAGAAGCTTCAGTTAGAAGATATCATTGATTAAATCATTGGTCATTGGTGATCAGTTTAACCATGGGACCCGTTCCCCTCCCAGGAAGTTGGGGTAGGGCTGAAAGTCCCAACCCTCTAATCATGTCTTGGGTGAGCAGCGTTCTGAAGCTACCTCAGGGCCTCCAGCCACTTTTTAGCACAAAAGACGCGAAAGACCTCTCCCTCTGGAGATTCCAAGGGTGATAGGATCTGTGCATCAGAGAAAGAAATGAAGATCAAATGCATATATCTCACACTATCTCAGATGGTATACATATTTCACTGAGCATCTACTATGAAATAAACCAATGAACAGTTATAGGGCAATTACTCTATGCAAGGCATACTGAAAAGAAAGACTGAAAGATTTCTAAGATAATGTTTTCTCCCTCAAAAAAGGAAACAAGGCAGAATAAGACAGGCCTTTCATATGCAGCATAGACTGTAGACACTGTGAGGCTCGAGAGAGAGAACAGGGAACAATTGGACCCAAGAGGCCAGTCAAGAGGAGAGGATGCAAAGTGAGGAAGGCTCCAAAGAGCCCACGAGATTTGGATGGACAACAAAGAGGGAGGAGAGAAGTTTTAGCAGGGTGGAGGGTGTGAACAAAGTTACAGAGGCAGAATGTTCCAGGTGAGCTGAGGAAAACATGAGTGGCTACAAGAGGTTTTGCAAGAGCAGACTGTGAGAATGCAGAGAATCTATCAGGGATGGAGGATTGTATTTGATCAGTAATGAGAGCAATGGAAGATATCCAAAAGGGCTCCTTCTTCCCCCTGCCCAGGACAAGGCTCTACTTTCCTCTGAACACCAGGTATGTATGTGTACATGTCCAAAATCCTGAGAGGAGAATGGAGAAGGTCCTGCCCACTGGGAGGTGCTCTTTCACTTCCTCTCTCTCTCTCCCATGAGAGAGTGAGTGCATTTTCCCCATGACAAATTTTTAAGATATATATATATATATCCCAGAAAGAAAGTCATATATGTCTGTGAGTCTTCAAAAAACTTATGAAAATATGTATTATGAAAAACTGCATGTGCCTTTCAAATTAATTTCAAAATAGACTTGTATTTTAATTCAATTTTTTCCACAAACTTTTGCAAGTCCCCTAATACAATATTAATGGGTCTTTTATTTTTCTTTATGCAGGGCAGCAGCAATATGACTTGAATGAGGGGGTCCTTCATTCAAAGTAAACTGTCAACTGTTCAGAAAATCAATTTAGGTGTCATTGAAGTGAGTTATAGAGACCTCAGGAACCATCTGAGGCCTAGCGGGATCATCAGGGACCAGTGGGATCTAATATTATTATTAGGTGCATGGTTGAGATTCAAAGGCTTGAAAGAGTCTGCCCAAGGCAGGTAAGCTCGGCTTCAAACTCCTGCCCAGTACCGTTTTATCTCAGGCTGCAAAGGTGTCCAGAACCTCAATTCTAATAGCATATTTGAGACCTCCTTACCTACCCAGCACCCCCGTCCTGCTCTTCATGGGTGTTAATGGCTTTTGCCATTGGTAGACTTATTGGTGTGTTCTTTGGCAGTAAAGTAAGAGCTCTGAGCCAAGGGAACTTGCATTCTTTAGAAAGTTGTCAAGAGCAAGGTGTGTGTAAGGGTAGACTGGGGCAAGGAGGCAGGGAAGGAGCATGACTCAGGTGACTCAGGTCACTGATACTGATGATAGCCCTTATTCCAGACACAGTAGTGCAGGTCTGTACCTGAAAATGTCCCTCCTTGTAAAATAAGACTTTCAAAATGTACTGGAACATCCATGAAAATCTCTAAGGTTTGGTGTCTGATGGAGTACATGAACTCAGAGAGAGACAGAGAATACATGTAAAAAATAATTTACTTAAAGGACTGACAGTTGCCAGTTAAATATTGGTGCACTGTAGACTTTAAAGATAAAAATGGCAGCCATTGTTGACCGCTGGCAAATTCACATAAGACAACTCCTGGGAACCAGCAGTTAGTGTAATGGCTATGTAGCTGGAATCCCAGGGTGTCCACC